AAAAAAAACATTTACTCAACTGTTACTACACTGCGTGACTCACATCAGTCTGATTGCTCATTATTTCTTCCCTGAGGGAGAATACATTTACTGGAGTCTTTAAAAAGACCTCAAACATTAAAAGAAACTCAGAAAAAAGAAAAAAAAACCCTAAAGCTTTGGTAATTATTCTCACTGTCTTGAACACAGCCGTGTCTGAAGTAACAGTAAATTATTTGACTTTACTCTGATCCATTTGACATTAAAATGTTCCTCATGTAAGGGTCACGTTCACTATGAAGCCTACATAATGTCAGAAAATTGCCTATAACAATTTTCTATACTCCAAGCAGAATCACAGGCCAAGAAGACCAGACAATATTTGGTATTTTTCTACTACACACTTGTAATGAACATATTTAGTTGACAGATTAATCAACAAATGGATTAGCCATTTCACACATAACTGTGTATATAAACTGTACGTGCTCCTGACTTTCAGAATCATTCAACTGCTGCCAAGAAATGAAAACAAACTGTGCTGCTGTGAACTGAATCGGGGATTTAGAAGATTATAATGTGATTTTATCTACACAAATACAGCACATGATGTGGACAGTCTGGGATATTTCCTCTGAAATGTCATCTGCACTGTTGGGTACTGCTGAGCACTGAATTCTAATTCTGGCACGGCAACTTCCTCTTTTAACACAATGACTGAGTTTAAATGAAAATGTCAGGTGATGAATAACTGCAAAACAAAAAATGTTGCCCGGTCTGTCACTTCTGTGCATAAACATGCTTTAAATTTCCCCTAAAGATCCCATATTACACCTCACCCCTGTGCTACCAGTACCCGCCTTCGGCCTCACCTGGACAGTACTACTCAGAGGAGGACCAGAGAGGAATCAGTCCACCACTTGAGGTATCAGAGGGCGAGGATGAATATGAAGGTCATAACCCTTCTTCCTTCAGGAGAGACACTAGTGGGTATTTTCAAACCTCTTTTTTTTTTCTTACATTCAGTCATAAACCTTGTAAACTGAATAAAATTGCTTTAGCAATTCTTATACTTTCCACTCCAGACAACAAGAAGAAAATCCGTCTGTACCAGTTCCTCCTGGACATGCTAAGAAACGGCGACATGAGTGAGAGTATCTGGTGGGTGGACCAGGACAAGGGCATCTTCCAGTTCTCCACCAAACACAAGGAAGCCCTGGCGAACCACTGGGGTATTCAGAAAGGAAACCGCAAAAAAATGACCTACCAGAAAATGGCTCGAGCTCTGAGAAACTATGGTAAAACCGGAGAGATTAAAAAAGTGAAGAAGAAGCTAACCTACCAGTTCAGTGAGAATGTGTTGAGAAACTTATATTCACGTCAGTACCCTCAATGACAAGGGAACAAACGCTGTCTTTAATCATGCTAAACTACTCAAATTTTCTCTGTAGATTTACAATTTCAGTTTGTTTTTCTACCATGTTTCCTTCCTTATTTATTTGTAATCTGTGACATTTGCTAATGTCTATATAAACAGCTTAATTTTAAACTCAAATTATGGGTGAATAAGAACAAAACTAAGAGTAAAAGATCAGTGACAGCTGCAAATAAATGTTTTAAAAATGCATATTGTAATTTTCTGAATGCTGTAAATAAATATAATGCTCTGCTATTTTTGTCAAATTATTCAAATGAACTGGGTCTGTCTTTGAACAAACAAAAAATGTGTTTTACTCCTTAAAATAAAAATCTTCCTAGCCTTGTTAAAAAGGCAGAATAGAGCTGTCCCTCTCTGGAAAGATAGAGAACTCATTAGAATATTAAATTAAATAGATGTCGCGACAACACTCTTCGTGCAAAAGATTAAGTACAATAGTTGCTACGAAATGACCTGCGAGTAAATTATAAAGGTGTATTTAGTCTGTACCTATGTAACGTCCTTCCTTGGACAAAACTTTTTCTTCACTCGTCAGTATAGTCCTTATACCTGGCTATTTAAGAGGAAGGACTTTTATTTTTCTTTGTTTTGTTTTATTTTGTTTGTTGCAGACATTTCAAACACTTTTGTATGAATCATTAAAGCAATGTATCCCCATTTACCTCTTGCTGAAGACTGCTGCAGCCCCGCGTTTGGACAAGTGGGAGAAGTTGCACATACAGCATAAGCTTTTATTTTACAAGTTCTCTGGTTCCGCTCCACAGCTATTTCCGCTTACGTCATTTCACCGGCCAATCAGAGTCCAAGCATTGTTTCGGTCCAAATTTCAAATGCACTCGACAAACGAACGGGCAGTCGGGCAACTATACTGACTTTAGCCTAGATTTTTTTTATTTGAGGAGTCAAAAGACCGTCTGCAGGAACAGGACGATTCTTTTTAAAATATTTCAATTGTCTGCGGTGGCGAAATGAGAGTGAGGTTAGTACTGAATATAAATATAATTCTTAGCGGTTTATGTAAGTTGTGTTCTAAACTTGCTGATTAGCTTTAGCATTTAATGTTAATTGTGAGAAAGGTCGCACGGCCTGTTTCACACATTGAGACGGAGCAGTCGTTAGGTTATGCTGTCATTACTATTTGGGTTTTTTTGGTCACTCATATTATTCAGGATTAGGGATACCACGGATATGCTACGCCGTCTGCAACTATTTAAATGTTAGTTTGCTCGGTCGATGGTGGAAGGGCTGTTGCGTCTGGTTTTGCGGGTGCTAACACAGCTGTTTCCTGTCTGGTTTTAAAATCCCTGGCTTACTGTAGTATAAAATAATATACTTTTTTGTTTACATTTTGAGTAATTGAAACACTAGTTAAAATATCAAAGTCCTGCTAACGTACAGGCCGCCCCCCACCCACCCCGAGGGCCACTTTGAGTCAGGAAAAACCCAGTGAAACCTGTCTGATTTGATTGTTAGCCCCGAATACACACCCGTAACCTCTGTGTACACCAGCTTATTTTATTACAGTATCCACCACACTTTACACTCGGTTACCCTGAACCTGTGAGCGGATACGTTTTTCCGTTTGATGAGCTCTTGAACTTTATTTTTACTTCATGAAATTAAAATTTTACTTGTATTGCGTTGTCATGTTGTATTTTATTTCATTGAAATGTATACCTTTCTACTTTTTTATGCCATTTTGTTATGTTTTTTGTTTGTTTGTTTTTTGTATTTAGCTTATTTTTGAACTGCTGCAACAAAGGAATTGCTCAACTTTTGTGGTAAAGTGTATCTTAACAAACTTGAGGATCTGGTTCTCTTCCAGTGAAGTCCATGCTGCTGAGTCTGTTGCCTACCTGAACAGAGCCCTGGTCAGGTTGCAGGATATTTGGGAAGAGATAGGGATTCCTGAAGAGCAGCGCCTACAAAGAACCAATGATGTTCACAAGCACATTAAAGTGAGTTCTTCTGACACTGGTGTACATTATGGTACCCTTTGGCCTTGTAGGACTAATCATACAATTGCCTCTTTGGTTTTTCTTGCCTTCAGGGTTTGCTGGACCTCATGATTGCAGAAGAAGAGGAGCTCAAGAAGAGAGTACTCAAAAGTATAGAGTCTTGTCACAAGGAACTCAGTATTTTGTATAGTGAGCTTCAGATGGCCCCTTTTGAGGTATTTACATTTGAGAAGTGTGTCTGAGTGGGTTTTTTTGTTGTTGTTTTTTTTATAACCAACAAGACGATCTGTGTTAGGCCTTACCTTTTGGATTTCTTTGCAGGAGGAGGATGGCTGCAGCATGTTGCAGATGGAGAAGAACTGCCGCACACATCTGGAGGTGATGAAGGAGCACAAAAAGCAAAGAATGGAAGAGCTTAAAGGCCTCGTTGTCAAAGACCGAGAGCTGTGTGATGTTATGTGCACTACCCCATTTTGCATCAACCAGGACTCTGTTCCATCATTGACACAGCTAGAGAGCTATCGGGCCTACGTTGATGATCTCACCAAAGAGAAGGTGTTTTTGATTTTCTGTTTGTTTCTTTAATATTACAGTTTTTGCTTTTGGTTTGTAACCTGTCTCGTCACTACAGGAGCATCGTCGCAAGGAATTTGTGAGCATCAAAAAGGAGATCATTGTATGCATGGATGATCTGGAGCAGCAGCCAGAGACGAGTTTTGAGACTGATGTGATTTGTGAGGATGAAGAGGCATTTTGCCTGTCGAATGACAACATTGCTGCTCTCAAACTCCTCCTCGGTCAAGTGAGTTTGTGATCTTTCCTTTTCTAATATGATCCGTCTACGGTATTGCATAGAATAACATGGTTGATTTCTTCTTCTTCCAGTTGCAAAATCGCAAGGCTGAGAATGAGCTCCTTTGTTCAGGTTACCGCACTAAGATCCAGGTGCTCTGGGAACGGCTTCAGATTCCCCAAGAGGACAGGGAAATTTTCTCAGAGCATATGATCAACACAAAGAAAAGAAACATGGAAGCGGTACAAACCTACCTTTTGATTTATAATTTTAAATAATGTGTCTGTTTACTTTCCACCCAGATCCTCTAAGCCCTCGTAAAAGGTTCTGATAATGTGTATCCTGTGTTTCCAGCTCCAGGCCGAGGTCCAGCGTCTAGAGGTGCTGAAAATGCAGAGCATGCAAAGTGTCATTGAGGCCATCCGAGCAGAGATCGCCCTCCTATGGAATAAATGTTTCTACAGCCCCGAACAGCAACAAGCTTTTGCTCCATATCATGATGGTGAATGTCTGTTTTAATAACGACTGCTTTATTTTAAACATATGCACCAAAAGTCACAGAGGGCGTTACTGTTCTGGTACATCTTTTCTTTACTCAGATGATTTCACAGAAGAGCTCCTCAATCTACATGAGGCTAAGATCACGACCTTGAAGAAGTGTTATGAGGACCACAAAGATCTCTTTGAGGGAGTCACTAAATGGCAGGACAACTGGACGTTGTACTTGGAGCTTGACGTGAGTGCTGTCTCTAAGTTTTTTGTGGAAGCTTTTAAAATGCTTATCTCTGGGCATGGTGACATGTGGCTGTATGCTTCCCCTTTTAGAAAAAGGCTAATGACCCTTCAAGATTCAACAACAGGGGTGGGAACCTTCTGAAAGAAGAGAAGCAGAGAACTGACCTGCAGAAAAGTTTGCCTAAGGTGAGAATTTCTATGCTGCTTCAGTAAATATAGCATTACTGTAAGCAGATGCCAGCCTGTAAGATATTCTCTTAGAAGACATTTCAAAGATGTCATATTTGATGAATTGGCAAATAAAAGGAGATGAAGAAAAACTCCATTGCTGTATTGCAGGTTTTGTCCAACAGATGGGGATATTAAATGACTGTCACTCTCTGGTTCAGGTGCATATGTCTGTTCATCAAAAGCATTTCAGAAATTGATGTAATCTGAAAGTCCACTGTCAGTGCAGAAGCTGCTAAAAGGGAATCGGCTGAGCTCTACTAATCCAAAAATGCGCATTTTGCTGTTCAAAATGGGCTTTATTTAGATAGCCTAGTCAGGGGACACATGCAGCAAAGGGCCTCTGGTGGGTGGCACTGCATTTCTGCCTTGCAGTCTATGGTCAACTGTATATCGTGTGAGTTCAACTGCTTTGGGATTTTCTCTGGAAAAAGAACCGTTCACAGCAAATCATTAAATGCTCAAAATTACTCTGACATTATGTCCGTGATGACTGGATGTAATCTTTCCTACCTTACTTCAGGCCCACACGGTCTTTAAAAAACCAGTTGAGTGCAGTTTGAAGCCTTGAGTTTTGGCTCACAGGGATTTTTCTCACATTAGACTCCCTCCTCATTATTAAGTATTGGTATTGTTTCACAGTGGTGTCTGTTTTTTTTTTTAAAGTGTACATATAAGAGAAGTAAATGTAATAAGGCCCCTTTTTGTGACAACATAAAAACTTATACTTGTTTTCAGTTGGAAAAGAGTCTGAAAGCCCAAATCGACGTTTGGGAGCAGGAGCATGGCAAAGATTTTCTGGTGAATGGACAGAAATTCCTCGATTATGTGCAGCAGCAGTGGGATCAACACCACAATGAAAAGGAGAAGGAGAAGCTTGAAAGGGTATGTGAGGTTATTGCTGTGACACACTCTGTCGTGACTTTCACTTCCCTGTAGCAGTAGTTTTGCCAGTGCATTTTTTTTTTCTTTAAATGCATTGTTCTTTGGAAAATAGCAAATGAAGAAAACTAAGCAGATGCAAGAGGAAATGCTGTATGGAACGATGGCGAAAACCCCGTCTAAAAGGCGGATAGGAGGGACTCCAACACCTGGAAAAATGAAAAAGGTAAATGGGTAGATATTTCTGTGGTTTTTCTCAATCAATCAAAGCTTTATTCGTCACATGCAGGTTGCCCTGCAGTGAAATGGGACCCACCCCCACCTTACACATATAGCACAAACATTACATGGGGATACAGGTCGGAGATTGGTAGAATCAGAGAAAAAAACATTGAAATGTACACTATAGTGGGACAGTGAGAGGTTGCGCCTCGTTCCATTTCGATTCCAGCGGGCAGGCTTGGGGGGGTTTGAACAGCCGGTTCCGCTCTTATTTCTCCGATAAACCAGGGCTAAGTCAACTCCGATCAGCATGAACCCTGTTATCACGGTTCCGAATAGATATCTTCAGCGTCCTCGATAGACAGTCCCGCCAGGCACATGATCCTCCAGTTCTGCCACCCGTCCATCGTGTATCCGGCAGGGAAAGTCC